ATTCCGTGTAAGGCAGAAGGTGGTAACCGTAGATCCTGAGGAACAAGCGGACTTTGATCAAGAGCTGAAGGCTTTACTTCAGGCAAGTTCAGATTTGGTCTTTTTCTTTATGTAGATTCGATGCATCTATTTTCTCCAATTTTGTTGGATGCTAAGACAGAACCTATTGGTTCAAATTTGAAAGATCAAGTCACTTGAATCTTAAGATGAACATGGTTAAGTACTGATATGTTTTATCGATGCAGGAGAGCATGGAGCAAAGGAAGCTAGAATTACGTGGTAGACCGGCATTGAACATGACAATACCGATGAGTGTTTTTGAAGGATCTGGGAAAGACAACCATCATTTTGGGCGGGTAATAGGTGAAAACGGTGAGGAAGTGTTGGATGAAGAGAATGGAGAGCGAAGAGAAGTTCAAGTGAAGGTCCTTGTGAAGAGAGGAAACAAACAGCAAACAAAGCAAATGCTAATCCCGAGTGATTGTTTGCTAGTGCAGAGCACAAAACAGAAAGAAGCTGCGGACTTGGAAGAGAAACAAGATATAAAGAGGTTGGTGCTTGAGTATAATGAGAGGGACGAAGAGGAAGCTAACGGGTTAGGGACACAGATGTCGAATTGGACCACTGGAGGAAGCAGAGGATCCACTCGAGGTAGTAACATAGGTGAAGGAGGTGGGAAGAGTGGTGGATCCCGTCATCGGTTTTTCTATCATCAAGGAGGTGGTGGTTCGTATCATACCAGGAGAAAGTAAGGATTTACACGGTTAAGTGGGGGGGGGGGGGGGGAATTTGAAAATCTTGCATATCTCAAAAGCGGTAATAGTTGGCTTTTCGTATGGCTCAAAATGCAATCACAAGAAAGCTCAGTGGTTTACGCGATTTGTCCAAAAAGGCTTTATATGGAGTTACGGTTCAGTTAATCGCGTGGTGGTATGTGTATGGGAAGTTTGGATCAGCTGTGTGTGTGACCTTTTTTTGTCCCAGCTTGTTTGATCCAACTTCTTAATTTGGGGTTTTGGAAAATGTGAAAGCTTTAGAAACATAAACGAATATAATATGTTTATTAGCAACCTCTTTAAGGTCGGTCTTTCGTTATGATTATGTTAATCTCAAAGTAAAAAACCTTGTAAATGCCAGTTATGCTATCATAAACGTGATGCAATTAGAACTGTCAAACGTAGATGCATGTGGCTCGGAAAATTATTGTGGAGTCATCCGTAGAACCATTATTCTTCGATTACATGTGCGGTTAGTTATACATCTACAATCTAAGAAAAAATGGAACAAATAGTATCAAGAACTTGAGAAAACTAATAACGGATTTAACTGTGTACTAAACTCAGGCTTCATTGGTACAACATCCTCAAGATTCTGTCACTTCCTCCTCTATTTACACAAGACACTATATAAGAAACATGTGTTTGAGTTCTGTGAACTGCTTGGATCTGAATTTCTTCTGCATGTAAATCACGCAGCCTATTCACAGAGTTGATTTCCAATGAGAAGCTGTGTTAGGAAGATCATTTGAGGAGTTTGATAAAACTGGCTTTGCTTCGACGTGGCCACACTCAACTCATGCAACTAAGAACTTTTAGCAGCTAGACCTCGTCTCAGGAGGAGCCAAGCTGATAATCCTATCTGCAGCAGGAGGTTTTGCAACTTGTCCACTCACGAGTATACTAAATATAGTATCATCGTGTACAATACCTTTCTCAAGCATCTCAGCATGAAGTCTAAAAGCCTCATCGAGATTTCCTTCTCTATAATGTCCTGCGATAACTGTACTATAAATAAGCACATTTGGAGTCACATCTTTCTTCTTCATCTCTTCTAACATCTTGCTTGCTTTCACAAACTGTCCCTTCTTGCTAAGCCCGTTGACAAGTACCGTGTACAAGATTTCATCAGGGGCGAGACCCGAAGCAACCACCTCTGAGTACAAATCAGAGGCAAAGATTAGATTTCCGTCTTTTAACAACCCATCGATCAGAGTTGTATACGTAAAAAGATCACAACGTATTCCATCATTCACCATTTTCTTGTACATGTCAATTGCTGCATTCATGTTTCCCACATTACGGAATCCTGAAATCAAACTATTGTAGACAGACACATTTGGAATCAATCCTCGTTCCAGGAGTTCAGAGAACAGAGAATATGCGGTTTTCATGTCCTGCTTTTTACAGAATCCATCTATTAGAGCACAATAGGCTGGAATATCGAGTTTCAGATCCTTGCTTTTCATTTCTTGTCTCGTTTCAAGAGCTAGATCCATTCTGTCAATTTTACAGAATCCATTGATCAAGCTGGTGAAGGTTACAACATCCAGGGAGATACCGTTTTCATTCATCTCTCTGTAAGTTTCAACAGCAGAATCGGTTTCACCTTCTCTGAAAAATCCATCTATGATGCTATTGTAACTCGTGCAACTCATGGAACAACGCTTTTCTTTGATCAAATCTTGCAACATCTCTCTTGCTTTAGATGTCTGACCAACTTTGCACAAGCCATTGATGATCGTGTTATATACAACTTCACTAGCTTCGAAATTGGAAGAAACCATCTGATTAATGACATCCCAAGCACTTTGCTCATCCTGATTCTTGAAACAACCATCAATCAAGATGGAATAAGTGAAGTTATTCGGCTCTAGACCCTTTTCCAGCATAACCGAAAATATCAAACAAGCCAAGCCCATGTTTTTCGTTCTGCAATGAGCAAGCATCATGTTATTACAAGAAACTATATTAGGCTCAATCCCTTTATTTTCCATCATCTCCAATAAGCTTGTCGCTGCATCGATCTTACCCTGCTTGCATAGCAATGACAAAATCTTGTTACACATGAAACTGTGCGCAAGCCCGGTATCGAAACAGTCATTAAAGATTTCAAGTGCCACTTCAGGTGACTCGGCTTTCAAACACCCGTTCATTATCGTGTGGACAAGAACAGATGAAGGAGTAATCCCTGCAGCTTTCATCCTTTTGTAAATCTCAACAGCTTTTTCAATCTTCTCATACCGACAAAACCATTCTGTGATAACCGAAAACATAACTCTGTCTGGAGCAAGCCCTTCCTCCTCCATTTTATTAAACAAATCCAAAGCCTTACCCAACTCATTTCCCTTGCAATATCCAGTAACTAAACTTGTTGCAGCAATCACACTCATCGGTATCCCAAAACCAATCATCTCATCCTTAACCTTCACAGCCTCCTCCATATTACCTTCCTTCACAGAAGCCACAATCACGCTAGTATATGTTTCCTGCGAGGCCGGGACTCTCAACTTCTCTCTCATTTCTCTCAACAAATCCAAAGCCATAACCAAATCCGGCATCTTACAAGCAGCTAGAATAGCAAGACTATACAGTAAACTATCTAATTCTGCTCCTCTACTCGTCACTCTCCTAAAGATTTTCACAGCCTCTTTCGGCTTTCGTTCTCTCAAACAAGCTCTCATCAACAACTGCGTAGTAACATTATCACCAGCAACACCAATACCAACCATCTTATTATAAATCTCCTTAGCTTCACTTATCGAATTACTTCGAACTAAAGAGCTTAAAACATTGTTCACATATGGCACAAAAGGAATCACATTTCGTTCGATCATCAAACCAAAGCAATCTACAGCATAATCTGTTCTTCTATTTCGTATATAAGCATTCAACAAGTAATTGAAAACTCGTGAATCGATTCCAAAACCAAACCTTTGAGCCGAATCGACTAAATTGTTAACCATTAAGCTTGGAATTAGATTTGGATTGCTCGAAACGAAGAGAACGAGCAAATTGCTAGCTCGATCGTAAGTCTGAGGAGAAGTAACAAGAATATGAATAAGTACCCAGAAAACATCACCACCTTCGCAGATTCGACTCAAAGGCTTGACCCAATTGCAGTATTGAAGAGCCGAGACTGGGTCGTTCCTACGACCTAGAAGCACTTCGATTACACGAGCGTCGTCCACACCATCGCTCTGATTCTCAAGCTCCGAGGTTGAAATCAAAGGTAAAGGATCCCGTGCAGAGGTTTTATGGGGAAATTGTAGCTCTGAGATGGTTTCATTAGTGGAATCGGTGTCTCGACTCCGATTATTATCCAGCTGATTGGGAAACCGAGACTGTGAAGAAAACGGTTTAGGGTTTATGAAGCGATGAAGAAGAAGAAGTCGACTGAATCGAGTGGAAGACAAGAAAGTACTCATTTTTTTGCTCAGCTAGCTTCAGCAGAGAAGAGGATCGATCGG